ATGCTGTTTATGTTAATATACGTATTCACCGGTATCATTGATTTCTGGATTAAATTGGTGCACGGGCAAATAGTGCCAAAGGTGTGTCGGGCAAAAATGGACTCAACGAGCAAAGCTGATCCGACAGCGCTTAGAGTTGGTTCACAATACCAATACTTGTTTTCATGGTTACGCCTAGGGAATACGAAGAGGATGTGAACATGATGGTGATGTGAGAATACGCTACGCGGTTTAGTATTTTTATCATGTTCATCGGCGCAGACTCCGGCGTGGGATGATTTCTACTAAACAATATACCGGAAAAATAAAGATGGTCCAACGATTTTTCAGTAAGAATACAGACCGTGAAAGCGTGGCTGATCGACCCTTCTGTATTTAATAATCGAAGTTTGCAGCAGTGTCAGAAAAGTTACCGCAAGGATAACTGGTTTGTGGTGGACAGTATGCGTGTGCTGTGGTCCCACGATTTGCCAAGCAGTTTTGCGAGCCAATGAGCTTCGCGCTTTGTGAAATACGTGAATCAGTATCCACGAGGACTAAATATTACGTAGGAATGCAGCTTCTCAGTCCCATGCTAATGGAATATCGCCTCATCAGCGAATATGTTGGGATGAACGCTCAGGACTGTGACGGGTGAATACGCTATACGGCAGCGAGTAGTCTTTAGGCAGCATAGCTTTTCAAGACTCTTTTCTCAAGACGTTACGTTTCATATTTGCAAGGTCTAATCGTAAGGAATGCTTATTTTGCTAAGGTGGGTTGTTGGAAGCTAATTTTCAGTCCACAAGAGTGTTGACAACAGCATTTTGTCATTAGCTGGGATAACACTAAGCACCTAGTGAACACTCCTTGCTCAGATCAGTTAGGCCTGTCCAAGCGTCACCACAATTGTACCGCAGTAGCCCGGGAATGATGCACTGCTGTCTTGATTTTGCAACCGAGCAACCAGCCCGAAACACGGTGTGTATCGATCGGTGAAGTTGCTATGTGGCGTGCCGTAGTTGAATTCAAGTCAACCATCCGCGTCTGTCCAGCGTTTTCACGATGGACGAGACTGGCAAGTACACTTGTACCTGGGCACAGACGCATACAGCGTGCATACGGCCATCACTCCGGTTGTTCACACTCATATGACCGGGTGAGAGACATTTTGAGATAGACCAACATTTACTATTAGACAGTTGGCAATTTGTGCTCTTTTACTCGAAGGCGTGACCCTTGGTCCTTGAGTAACAGAGTAAAAAGGGACAAGACTTCTCAGATTAACTGTACATAGTTTGAGTTGACCTCCGGAAGGCTGACTTTCCTTCGCTGGAGGAACTGGTAAACTACGGTTTAGATAGTTTAAAACGACTTGAGCAGCGCAGTAACTTCCGCCGTAGCCCATATTAGTCGCTTGGTCGTCTTTAGCGTGGCAAAATTACCTCGGAATGGTAACTCGATACAAACCTTCTTCTTAGCTACTTTGTGTACCAAGTCCGTCGGTCCTCGCAGCTGGCTGCGTTTCTCGGTAAATCTTTGAGGGTAGCGGTTCACAACCAGCGTATCTGCAAGTAATACTAGCTCATCGGCCAAACAGTCGGCCGAGCAAATTCGTCTAGCCCGGCTAACTAGGGTCTTCACAAATGTCCGCATGTACCGCACTGGTGAAGTACAAGTACTGGCCGGACCAAGATGATTTTAAATAAACGGACCTCTGAATCAATTCATCCTCCCTGCGATTGATGAGGATGTCCAGATATGGTAGGAAATTATTCCGCTTTACTTTGCAGGGAACCCCTTTCGCATGTGCGCCACTAAAGTGCTGTACCAGCTGCTGCTCCGACGAACAAATTGGCAAGATATCACTAACATAGCACTTGTAGTAGGGTAGTTAGGCAATCTCTATGGAAAGGCTTGTTTCTATCATCAACATGAAGAACTCCTCGAGTACAAGACATAATGGACTATCCATCGCTAGGCCGTGTTGGGAAAATGGTAGTCAACTTTCTTCGTGAACAATAACAGTGATTCCCTCAGCAATTCAGTCACAATTGTTAATGAACCACCAGAGTTCTCAGCTAATTCACATACGTAGTCAACAGTCTAATGTAGTGGGACGTTAGTAAATAAAAATTCTACATCCATGGAACACATGATTCTGTCTGACAAGTTGGTTACATCCAGATCGCTAATGAGTTGAAATGAATCCTTAAGACTATGTGTATTGTGTAGGTGTCTCAGCAGAGTAAACACTTTCTCTATCCAATGAGCCCATTCAAGTTCATCGGCCTGAGTGGCACTTCACTTTATGGGTCTTCGGTGATCCACATAACTGTGGAGTAATGTTACCACTGGGCTTCAAACTAGTAAATGTGTCACATTATATCACACGATGAAGAAGGAGCAATTTAATGTGGTGAACTTTGCGTGTTTCGATATTGGTTATATCCCCTACTTTCCTGAGCCGTTCGAATTTACCCGTATCGCTGAGTACGAGGCCCATTTTGTAATCACATTCGGCCTTGCTCATGATCACCACTCCGGAACCTTAATTTGGTCTCGTTATGACTTCATACTTAGCTCGTAGTTCACGTAAGGCTTGAAATGTCGAGCTGTGAGAGCACATTTTTCACTGAGTGGCAGTTTTAACCTCGTGTGCAATAGCGGTTAACTTGTTTCTGAACCGAATAAGCTTATCAGGACTGATTGGCTGAAGCTCATTAAACCGATTTAGAAAGTTTATCAAATTGGGTTTCTATGAACAATCCGTTCAACTTCCTAGGTGTTGTGGTTTCTGCCGATTGTACGGAAAACTTGTCAGAATCAGTTGTGCCACCATCAACTAGTTCAACCTCGCAGGGAAATGAGAACACTAAAGTCCAACCAGGACCGAGGGTTCAATTGCATGAGAGCATAGTGTAATACATTAGTTGAAGGTAGCCAGTAAACATGACAACATGGGGGATGCTAATTACTATCAAATAACACAACTCAAAACGGTTCAAGTTCAGGGTTCAACTTGCAGCTGACCCCATATAGATTTGCGTTTGATGTCTGCATGATTCTCCGAATGTAGATCGATGCAATCCTGTGCCACGGCTCTCGACTTAAACGCTGGCTCCCAGTAACAGAGGGGCTTTATAATGAAGTCCAAATGATAATGCTTCTAACTGCAACGCGTCAAGTTGTACGTTGGATAAATTCATCAAGTACTTACTAGGATCAGTAAATCCAACCTATCGGGGCCAAATCACACTGTATACCAATTCGTGTGCGACCTCGGAAGTAGTTACATAGGCAGAACTGATAGAATTCTGACTTCCCGAATAAAGCAACATGTGCCAAATGGGCCCAGCACGAAATCGCCCAACCCCCCTCAACCCGTGCTCGCGTAGACCGCCGATTTCCTAGGTTGGTCTCGGGTCACCGGATAGACCTGAGATCAGCGTTCACAGTTATGTTGCGTCACGCTAATCCGCGCTCCCTCCGGTTTTCTGAGGCGGATGAAGCCAGCTCTGTGCTATCAAAAACAATTATTTGGCAGCCTTAAGGCTATGGACATGGGTGTGAACTTCCGCCACTCAATCTGCACTTGTAACATGTCTGGTCACACCCAACGTCAGTTATATGCAGGCATATCAGTCATTGTTGGTAGTACTGAAGAATCAATACGAAATGCATGCATCTACCAGTGTTCGTCGTCTTTCCATGCTTTTCAAATTTCAGGTAACTAATAGTTGTAATAAAAATCGCTCGAAAACATGTGTATTCTATACTTGAATGCCGCAAAGTAAAAATATTATTAATTTTCCATAATGTAAAGTAAATAATACAATAGTTAAGTTGTTTTTAAACCAAAACCTTTCGGAGGTAATATTTTATAGTGAACCCGCTTTTTGATTAACAGCTTCAAAAAGGCTGAGAACCACTGCTCTAAATCAAGGACGACAATAAACATGCGGTACACATGACGCTGCCCTAGCACCTACAGCAGCAGACATTTATGATCTATGTGGCCCAGGCCACGTCAGCAACTTGTCTAATCATTTGCCATCTAAAATTCTTGTTCATAAGCAAGGCAACGGATACGATTGGAGGCCACCAACTTCACCACTGTCGTATTCAAGCCGATCCCCTTTTGCGAATGTCATCTGGTGTGATGGAATCATTCATTATTCAGATCGATTCTCGCCGTTTCTTTTCCGAACAGATGAATTAATAAATTACACAGGACCTCGATATTTTCCATATCTAGCGTGCTCAAGTAGAGGCCAAATCCGGAGTACGGAAGCGGCTGTGTTGTCATCAGGTTTCGAGGTGCATCATAGAAGCAAGAAATAGGTAGGATTGCAATGGAAAGGCTACTTGAAGCGCCCTGCTCAACGAGCCAGACACTGTTCCTTGTGGTGAAATAGAACATCGAAGAATTCTCTGGTTTTCGCAATGATTGATATTATCACTGGACAAATGGCGTGGATTCGTCAAGTCGGTCTGTGGATATTAGGTAGCACCCATTTTTGAGTTACTTGCCCCTACTGAGTCTACTATGCTCATTCATCGACACGTAGGGCCGATTGCAGCTCGAAAGTGATAGATCGTCTGGTTACATTAGATCCAATGACAGCCGGCTTAGCGAGCTTTAAGTTATCGAGTGTAACATGGAGTGACGGGTGATAAAGTTGAGAACGGTTCACATATGGTAACGAAATTCCTACTTCAGTGAAGTTCGACGATCCGAGAAAAAGTGGCCTCAAGGATAACACGCAGCGAATTCTAGAAGACCGTTTACCCGTCCACTGAAGCCGATCATCAGGTTGTGGGCGTCCACGGGACGGTAGTTTCTGTCCATAAGAGAGACCTGCAGATCATAGTACATTAAGTGTGAGCAGCCTGCCACAACCGCTACTTGCGCACAACTAATTGCCCATTCGATACAACAAACCTAGTAGTCACATATATAACCAGAAACTAGAAGGTAAAAGTCGAGGGACCTGACACGAATCATCATTTCTTTGCAGAGTGAGAGCATACAGACGCGGGAAGAAGTAAGTTCAGTCGTTAATAGTTTAACGATGAATTGTGTTTGCAGTACCAGCTCATTGTGGAACGGCGCATTCCAACTCATGCAGTGAGAGTCACGGCCACAGACAAGACGAACAATTATGTAGGTGAGTATCTAAACATTGAATTATGTCAATCGATAGGATGCATGGGATAGTTTTTGACTCAGTTCAGTGTGTGTGGATAATAGTATTAGTCATGCGGTTTTCACCTTAGCGCCAAAGCCACTTAGTTCTACGATCTATATAGTTGGACTGACTCGTACTGTCAAGGTATATATCCTTTATCTAGTTATTTATGCAGGTCAATTCTTTAGCTCGCATTGGTGAGCCAATTTCCTATGTGGTAGGGCCGGGATGGGATGATTGACTATCAATGGAAACTGATGGAAGTGCTGACTGCGACTGTTTGGAGAGAGCCATTAACAGTGCGGACACTGCTATCTTTATTGTCCCTCGTATTATCAGGGATCGTTGAATGATTAGAAAAGACTAACGGCACTGTCCCAGTTGGTTTCACGAAAGTAGGGTATATGACTGCCGCATAGCTTTGACAGGCGGTTCAGTTATCCTCGCTACAAATTTAAGCCAGGCCTATGACTCAAGAGATTATATGAGTGGACCGAATAACGCATTTCAGCCCGACGCTGTTAAAATAATATCTGGTTCCGTGCATACATCATTCTTGACTTCTGGAGGGGGTTAGTTTAAGGAAAATCAGGAATGTGCTTGAGAGAGAATCATGCGGAGATATCTGGCGATGGATAATCCCCCGGACGAGCCTTTTGATGAATATCACACCCGAAAGGCAGCGGAGAGGTCAGGGAATCGCGCCAATTGGAGGCTGCTGACTGAAAACTCAGTTCATAACTCCTTCGTTTGATCGATTACCAAACAGGAGTTTAGTCCTCCCCAAGGAACTAATGTCCTACTGCCAATAAGTAGCGGCCATTGGGAGACGGTCGTCTAGCACTGTGCGGGGGAGTGCAAGAAAGCGGATTCTTGGTTTGATGAGTGCCTTGAAACGTCACCTTAACACTGGCATTACCGAGCCAACGTGCAATAACTGTCGGGAGATGTGAGCATCACTAGCTATCGTTTCACGACACCCGCACAGCACGCAACGGTTGGAACGAAAGCAGATAGAGCGCATCCAAAGTCAGCCGCAAGCGCCAGTTTTAGTCGGATAGCATAACAAGGCGATAAGGATTCCAAGAGCCGCTTTTAAACAAGTACGGTGCTTGAGAGTTATTTGTTGTGCAACTGTGTTCGCATGCATGAAAAAGTAAAACGCCTGCAATTGTAGGAGATCCTCATACGCTAAAAAGGTAGAGCTTTAGAATGGACCAGTTAAATGCGTCTGCCCTGTATCGCAGTTAATAAGCGATAATGTTATATGATAATTTGCTGTTTCCATATGCAGAATTCGATGACGGTGGACAAGAGGCTGTCACACGTGAAACGATAAAGCAACGAGCCATGATGATTGTGGAACATGCGAAGCGCAAAGCACCTAGCGATGTGCGACGTAAAGGTGGATAAAAAGAAGAAATTTTGTTGAATTTTGTACAAAGTAAACTTGTTTAAACAGGACCTGTTTGTTAACTTAGTGTGTTTTTGAGCGAAGTGATTCCAGTACACCTCTGAGTAAGGGCACAGGGACGGAAAAAATGGTTATTCCAAGTCGGGAAAAGAGGACCCAGGTTATGAGGATAGAAGTCACTCTTAAAAGTGTGGAAAAGTCAACAATACAGTAGCGATGTATTCCGCAGATAAAGTCCAACTAACGCTGAAAGACAGGACACGAGCGATTCGGATGTGCAGAAAAAGACGGGAACAAAATGAAAAATGGTTCACCTAATGAGCATATCAGAATGTAGACCGAATGTGTGAATTAGAGAACAATTAAACACACGCGAAGTGGTGCTCTCTAGAGAACGAACAGCGGTCTTTTTACATGAGAGAATTGAGACAGAGGGACAAAACGTGAATGGATCATTAAACGCGGGTGATAATCCTAGGTAGTCAGGTTTGACTGCTAGGTTAAACAAAGTTGATTGCTTTGCCACAGAATGCCATCAAACTGGCTTCCCTGAGCGCCTCCGATACGGTCTGCAAAGAGAAGGAATAGCAAACATAAGTGTCAACATAAAGCGCGATAGAACGTTGATGCATGTGAAGGTGCGAATAATGGATGGAAGGATATGGATAGATAGGACCCGAATTGAAACATATGCAAGTCAGAGACGTGCAGAAACTGAAAACGTGGGTTGAAACCCCACAAAGGACTTCGCCCAAAATGCGTAACATTAATCCGCCGATTGCAGAAAGGGCCGCAGCCGAGTGAGAATCAGGCTGAAGAATGGTAACTTCAAGTGGCCGATAGCACAAATCCTTGACAACTCTGGGCATTCACACCTGAACAACTGATTTTGCGCTGTGATATAGCCGCGCCGTGAATTTGTCAGTGCAACTATTAGGTGTAAAAGCCTAGAGGTAGCAGAAGTGGACGAAAACGATATCAATACATTGCATAGGAATAAAGGGTCAGAATACACAGGCGTGCACTTCGTGCGGTAGGAGCAAAAAGAGTCAAAACGTTGTAATGTTGAACAGAGTTCTTCACAGCACAGAGTGAGAGGTTCGAAGAATTCTATGCTTGCCATGAAGGAATGGATTAAATGGCTAGAAATACAAACGTTAACACTGGAAGTGATATCAAGGTGTATATCGAAGTAATAAAAGCATGCAATCCATTACAATTTGAAACATATCCAAAAATAGCCTAGTTGCGAAAGCAAGAGAAAAACTTCGATCGGGTGCGTTAACAATTAGCAGAGCGATGAATCCAGTCAGTACAAGTTACCTTTTCGTAAAAACGGGGGTAGTAAGCGATGAATAAGCGAAATTTCGGGAAACGGAAAGCAGTGAGAACAAACTTGAAATGGTATAACCAGCAGTTAAGAGGAAGAAATATGGGGCCGAATGTGAGAGATTTACTGACTACGTAACTGGGAAATAGTAGGCACTGCATTCCACAGGACGCAACATAGATCAGCGGGAGTAAGCTCTCCGGGTGGTCGTACCATAGCGTTTGGTGACTATACGCCTCGAACTGGCTAGACAGGTATTCGAAAAACATAATCTCACGAAGATGATTGATGACCAAACTTTGCTACGGTAACCAGTTTTACTCATTTGGCGTGCCCACTAGTAACTGGTGAAGATGCGCTGATACAGACAATAAAAGTCAACCGTTAGCATAATGCACAAAGCACGCAATGGTCAGGCCTCTAATCCACACAGTATCGCTGAACTCGTGTCTTACCCATCACCGAAAGCTAGTTGTCGTGTGATCATCCACCGCAGCAGATAGTTTAAGTTCTTCAAAGCAATGTTGGTCTTGGCACAACACTGCACGACCGGTTTCGTACTCATCACAGGTGGGGACAGCGGGTCTGTGACTGGAACTATAGGAGAAGCATCAGTAGTACGCCGGCACGCAGTACCGACGCTGCGCTACCGCGCAGCCACCACCAGTTCCACGCGGGCTAAGGATACTGCGAGGATCGGAACTCCACGGGATGTCAGCGGAAACTTCGGTGCTGCAGAAACAGTCCCAAAGACCGAGTTGACGCATGCTCACTTCAAAGTCAATCGTCGACCAAATTGAGATTGTGTATCGCAATCCACTGCAATCTACAAAACTTGTCTACGATCTCTCTTTGATCATTTGCACGCGGTCTTCTGCTCGATATGGCAGACCGAAATCTGTCCTTCTTCTTTTAGTACCCCAGTACTACTGCCATTTCCCAAGAAAGGTAACCAAACTGTACACAGTCATTATCGCGGGATTAGCCTAATCGACGTGGTTGCCAACGCATTCGCACGAATCTCGCTTTCCCGCTTTGTTAATGAAAGGAACGTGCGAACTCACCGTAACCAAGGTGGCTTTCGTCCAGGCAGAGGCTGCACTGATCAAATCTTCACTCTACGTCGGGTACTCGAACACCGGCACCAGTTCCAGCAGCCCACGTTTGTGTGCTTCGTTGATTTTCGAGCTGCCTTTGACTCAGCTGACCGCGAAGCACTCGGGAAAATTCCACTTACCGATGGAATGCCGGGTTAAACTCTTTAACTCGATGAGATCATACTACGAAAGCTGTACGAAAGCCCGGATTCCAGTCTAGGGAGAAGAAACAGAGGAACTCAACACCAATACTGGAGTCCGACGGGGTTGCCCACTTTCTCCCTTGCTGTTCAACTTCGCAGTCGACTGGGTTATGCATCATGCCCTTGAGGGCTATCGTGGTGTTCAAGTTAGCCCTGACTTCTGGCTGTCAGATCTAGATATCGCTATTATTGCGGAAGATTCTATATCACTACAGTCGACCAATCAGCCTCTATGATCGGCCTCGAAATTAACATCAGCAAGACGAAGTACTTCTCATCGTCAGCCACCCAGTCTTCTCCGTCGCTCTCCTTACATGGACAACCCATCGGATCTGTTCCTAAGTTCAAGTATCTCGGATCCACTATTCTCCCCCATGGTCGGGTTACATCCGAAATCCGGGATCGTATTGACAGCGTTAGCACAGCCTTCTTATAACTGAGAAACACATTGTGGCGAAGGACGGAAATTAGTCTGAGAACGAAGAGCGGACCAGTCTCAGCAACCATTCGTGCCATTTTACTCTATGGTTACGAAACATGGCCGCTGGGATCCGAGGACACCCGGAAGCTGGAAGTCTTCGAACTTTAGTGTCTAAGGCTTATCTTGAAAACGCAGTGGCATGAGCGTATCACCAATGACGAAATCCGTAAGTGTTGTCATAGGCTTCTGAAGCTCACAACGCTCATACAGCGACGCAGACTCCAGTGGTTCGGTCACATCCTCCGCAGACCAGACACTGACTTCACTAGGGCCGTGATTTCACCCTCGCCTTGCCAGGGTTGGTGTCGTCGCCGTGATGGACACTTGAAAACGTGGATCACTGTAGTGAAATCGGATGTAGATCTTCTGGGACTCCAGGTTGTGTATGGTGCTCGTCATTAGCGAAATAATTGGATCAGTATCTGCAGGAAGCTTGTCGCCGACCACCGCGCTTAGGCAACTGCAATTCGCGACCTTCGTGAAACCGGCTCATCTTGTTGCAGGAGCCAGCCGCAGTAAAGTAAGTAAGTAACACAAAGGAGGCTTCAAAATAAGCACTCCAAGCAATCATTAACAACTGTGCCAAGCAAGGTACATCGGGGTTCGGTGGCTCATGGATGGAGGCTTGGATTGACGGCATAAAAATCTCAAGTTAGAGTCGCAACCCTGCTATCTCCACCGGATGTGGTCAAATAACGTCGAAATCCGTCGTGGAGAGCAATGTTTCGAGCGAGCAACACCACAGCTCCTTTTGCCACATCAGCTAGTCTTAGCGATGAAATTAAGGCTCACTTCAATGAGAAGCACGGCCCACAATGAGATTGCGCATCGCAATCCAATCACAAGGTAGATTGGATGTACCCACGGACGCCGCGGGTTTTTGATTACCGTGCTGAATTTCACTTTTTCTTCGGAATTGCTGTGTTATGCGTGAATTTTCTGTGTGAATTGTGCACCAATATTTTTCTTTTGGTGCAAATGTGGTGGAGGTTCTCTGCCTAATTTCGGAGGGCTCAATGAGTGTCCCAACTGCCGTCTGTGTCCACCATCTTGGATTTGTTCTGTGGTAATCGACCATCATGAGCATCACAGCGGGAACCCGAAACGAAGTATTTGATGCTAATCAAACTTAAGGGAGTAAAAGAATGGTTGACTTGCACAAACTGCCAAGGCTGGTACCATTCGAAATGCGCCAACATCTGTAGAACCGACATTGGTTCTGTCCGAAATGCACGACGGTTCCACAGGTAAATGCGTACTAGCGGTAACACAAAAGTACGACAGCCTCGTCGCCGAAACTGAAAAGCGTTTGAATGCACAAATTGCTTCGCTCGAAGCGACAATAGTGCATCTTGAACCTCACCCGTCTCCCTCAATTGCTGCCTCGAAACCAAGGAAAAGGGCCAGGCGTTTACACGGCTACGCAGTACTAGAAACCTTGGGAACCACGAACCAAGTCGTCGTTGCGACCGATAGAAGCATGCCTAGCCCCGCCGCCCACAACCTCTTATCTAATGTATCGACTGATGCAACATCGGTAACACTCACCCTTCCGGTTGACCAAAAAAAAACCCGAAGCGCTCTAAAGATCGATCCATCTACGCAACCGTTGCTGCTCGGTATAACCAAAGTGCGACAACAGTAGCCTCACTCAGTACAGCCACAAAACGAGTCAAGAATCAGGTACAAGGTGCAAAGACGTCATTAAATCACTCGATAATCGTGCTTCCTGTATCATCGAAAAGCAGACGGAACAACGGTGCCATGACATTTATATGCACCAACGTTCCTGAGTCCAAGGCAAATTCCTTAAAGGGTAAACTGGTAGATGATTTAAAGCAATAGAATTTCCTTTGTGATATAATCGGGGTTCAAATCAGTCCGACTAATATAATGCGCATTACTAGACATACAAACTCGAATCATTATGGGGAACTCCGGCTAATGCGAGTAACATTTGGATCAATAGATTATGCTGAGACGGTGCTTTTGTCAGCATACCGCCTACGGACTGAAAACAGTGGAATACGCATATTTCCGGATGTTCCATGGGGGCAACGTCAGCGGAACAAAAAATAATGCGAACGAACACCAAACGGAGAGTAGCAAAAGAAGTATTTTCGTTCATACCGTGCCCGAACTACCGACAAACAGCAACGAAGAAGCCCACGCTCATGACCTGGAAGAATGGTGTGACATCTTTGAAGCACTCTGTGTGGGCGACGTCACTCTTCAGTCGATGACACGGTTACCCGTGTCGCCAAACTACAGAGGCAGTGGCCAGAGGATACTGAAACGAACGGTGTAGTTACAACAGATGGCCGGGAAGTTAATCCGTAGCTGGCAGTTACTACACAACACAGCTCCTTCGGAAATACGACTGAAGACAGCAGTTAGAGAGCCGAACCTACTCGCTGTTCCCGCGAAAACGACACCAGCCGCGAGTGAATACACCTAC